AGTTGCCATACGTTCCCGTTTTTCCCTTTTCTTGTTATTATGGTTTATTTTCTTTATTACAATGAGACGCATCTTAGATTTAACAGAGATAGTAAAATAATATTTTTGTAAAATTTTGGAAAAAAAATTAATCTTAAAAATGTTTTTTTTTAAGATGCACAAGGACACGTCTTTCGTTTCCCTACCACCAATGATTTCACTGTGTAAAAAATAAAAGACAGACGTTCTTCTATTCGATTAGTATTACACAAAACATTGGCATAGGTCTACGATTGCAATCATCGATCGATTATTTTCCGATTTCCAACAGTATCTACTCGGTGCCGTCGTTGTACGACACACGCGGTGTCGATCGGAGTAACAAACGTCGCGGCGGGTTCTCCGAACAGCTGACAGCATCGTCAGGACGCGGAAAGAATGCCCTGACACGTCTCTGTCGCCCAGGTTTATCTATCTATTCCTGTGTCGGTGCGCGAAAGTGGGCTAGGGAGCAAGTCGGTTTCAGCGAAATCCCCCGCGCTGGCTGGCCGCCCGCTCGCCTTCGGGGGCAAGCCGTCGTTAAGAGAAAGAATCGAAGAAAGAAACTCGTACACGGAATGGTGTGCGCTCGCACCGCGCACGGTGGAACGGGACGCGAGAACAAGGCGAAAACAAAGGCACGTCGACGTAACAAAAGCTACGCTGATATACGAGCGTTGCTCGGTCAGCCGAGTAGACGTACCGGCGCGGCGATAACGCGGAGCCAGGGACAATTCGTTCCTGCTCGACTTTACTCCGCCGTTACGTTCCCCGAAGGATTCTAAAATTATCCTAGATACGATCATAATCCAATCCGTCTAACAGGGATTCATGTCAATTGTACATGAATCAGAATGTCCTGGCTAATGTTTATAATGTACGATGTGCACATGGTCCAAGTGTCTAACGAAAATGATCGATTCAATGAAAGAATTGCCTACAATTCATCGCAAAATGTTTGATACTTTGATTGATTATTGTATGAAGCTTTAATTCTAATCGAGCTTTCTTATTAAGTTCGAGATTCTTTCACCATTTTTCTACTGAACTTTGTTATGAGATATCAAATCTTACGATTTTATCCAGTAGCATAAGCATCGATTCTTCAATAAAATTCGTAATAAATCATCCAGTCTACCTAAATCACGATATTGCAAAAAATGAAAAAACTTCTCTTGAACTGTGCTATTGTGCCGTCACAGATGATCAATTGGCTTTTTTAATTCGACGTATGATTCCCCCTATTAACATTCTTGCTTGATGTATATTCTCGTGTATATAAAAGGACATTTAGCCCGTTTAATAAATGAATAAATAATTCTGAAGAAATAAAAAAATTAAATAACCATTAGAACGAATTAAATATCAATCATTGTATTGATTCTTCGTCAGATTCCATTAGACTGTATGATACGATGGTCAACAAATTCTTATAAGATTTTGCTGTACGATTTTAATACCGGAGGGTGGAGAAGACGGCAAGAAGCTTGCCTGGAGACGTCCGAGGTTTGACGCTACGACGTTTTAAATGGTTTCTTGCCGCGTAGCCGAACGGGTCGTGTAGCCATATTCGTCGTTGGACGAGCCCCTAATGGGCCAGTTTTAGTGCGGAAATAAATAACCGATAATGAACCGAGCAAAAACGGAACTAACGATTTTCGGGCCGAATTAGGCAGCGAGCCGCGGATGCCTACGCCTGTCCCAGGGACTGTCGAATCGATTGAGAGCTAACCGGTAATCAACGGGTTCTAAATGATGAACGGCTGACGCATACCTCCGAATAAATCCAATTCTTTTGCCCCATTTTTAACAATTTTTTATTAACAAATGTTCCGTTGGAAATAAACGAATGTTATTTGAACAAAGAATTAGAGTTGTCAATTAAATAAGCTGAGAGAGCAAACTGAGGAAGCAAATTAAGAAGCTTAAGAAGTAAACTAATTGTAAGAGAGCAATCTAAAGAAGAAAGCTGAGGCTTTCTGGTCTAACACCCCCAACCCCATCGTCACTTATTAGTACACAAAACATACGTTTGAATGTATTAAATATCAAGATTTTAATAGGTAGATCGTGACACATTTTTAAGGAGAATAGTCACATAATAAAGTTGGCCACCCCTTTTATATTGAAAAATTCTTAAAAATTATAAATTAAATCCTCCCAGAAGAACCTTTACATATTTCATGAAGTAAAGAAAAACGTCTTCTATTGAAAACAGAATGTATACGGCGTTTAAAAAATTCGCGAAGTGTTGTTGTAACGGCGTGGAGGTTTCAACCCTCGGGAGCTGGTAAGAATTTCGCCGCCGGGCGGAAGTGGAGTGCGCGCGATTGGAGCGTGCGTGCTAGGCGACGGGCACGTGACTCGGTTCGCCAAGCGTGTTACACAG